GAAGAAGTAGAAAACAACGAAAAAAATCAAAAAATAATTGAATATGAAAAAAAATTTAATGAACTTTGCATAAATTTAACAGAANCACAAAAAGAATGTTTAAATTTTATAAAAAAAAATAAAAATTTAAAAATAGTTGGTCCACCAGGTACAGGTAAAACAACCACTTTAGTTTCAATGATAAAATACATTCTTTTTAAAAATAAAAGAGTACTTGTTTGTACAAACAGTAATTCAGCTTTGGATAATTTAGCAGTTCATTTTTTAAATTATGATTTTATAAAATATGGCAGTAAAACAAAATCAAAGATAGAAAGTACAAGTAAAAGAAGTAAACTTATTTTTAGCACATTATACCAATCTTTAAAGATTAACAAATTATTTGATTATGTTATCATTGATGAAGGAAGTTTCTGTAATGATTTAGAATTACTCAGTGCACTTTGCAAAGGAAAAAAAATTGTACTTTCAGGAGACCCTTTTCAATTAAACTTAGAAAAAATGTTAAACGAAGAAAGAATTTTTTTAAAAAATATAAAAGAAATTAATAATTTATTTGAGAAAATAAAAATAAAAAAAATAATTTTAAATAAATCATTCAGGTCTTCTGAGAAAATGATAGAATGGAGCAATAAGACATTTTATAACTCAGTGATACAAAGTGATATTTTACCAAATAGTTTTGATAAACAAGAAATTCTCTTTGTAGACACTTACAATGACACTTATGAGTCAGAAAAAAAGAGTAAAATAAATTTAAAAGAAGCAGAAATAGCAGTAAAATTACAAGAAAAATATGGTGGAGTAATTATAACAATGTACGATGCACAAGCTAAATTACTTTCTGAGATGACTAATAATGTTCACACAGTGGATAGTTTCCAAGGGAAAGAGAGTGACACAGTGATTGTTTCATTTGTGAGGACTGAAAAGACAGGATTTTTAAAAAATCTTAAGAGAATAAATGTGGCAGTGACCAGAGCTAAAAAGAGGTTAATTATTATTTGTGATGGTAAAATGTTAATGGAAAGTGAATTAAGAAGTTTTATTAATTATTTGTATGAAAATGCTTATGTGGTGGATTATCACAGTGTAATGAATGATGAATTAATAAATTAAATTTATGATTTATTAATTTTATGATTTATGCTATGACATTATTTATCAAATTAAAAAAATAACTTAATTTTTTAAATTTATTTATGATTTTTGACATAATTTATTTTTTATTTTAAATTTATGACAAAATTTATATTTTTTATTAAATTTAAGAAAAATTTAAAATATACCTGACATTATTTTATACCCCTTAAATGTCATTTACAATCCCAAAATTACAGTACGACACAAAAAAATTTGATCAAAACTTTTATTCAGAAGAAGCTTTCTTTTTACATTTAAACAAACACCACCAAACTTACGTAACAAAACTTAATGAAGCAGTGCAAAGTGTAAAATTAAACTTACCACTCACTAAATTATTGACAGAATCAATCAAAAACACTTCTTTACCTGAAAAAACAAGAACATTGATAAGAAATAATGGAGGTGGCCACTACAACCATTCACTTTTTTGGTTGTGTATGAGCCCAGAAAAGAAATGTGAAATATCAGAAGAACTTAAAAGTAAACTGGAAAATAAGTTTGGTAGTTTTGATAAGTTTATTAATCAGTTTAAAGAACAAAGTGTTACTTTGTTTGGGTCTGGTTGGACATCTTTAGTGATAAAAAATGATGAATTTGAGATTGTACAAACAGCCAATCAGAATAGTCCAATAAGTGAAGGTGGCTCAGTGATATTAACTTTGGATGTATGGGAACATGCTTACTATGTGGTATATAAAAATGATAGGAAAAGGTTTATTGATGATTGGGTTGAACATATTAATTGGAAGAATGTTTCTTCTTTTTATGATTGTTATGCTAAAAAGAATGTTCCAGTGGAGGTGGAATGTGACGGATCAGTTAAAATTTAATTAAAAAAAATTATTGACTTTTTATAAAAATTGCAGTACTTGATGTTCCCATGTAGTCGCCCACCATAGTACTAATCAAGCTCACACAGGCTTAACTTCGGAGATCTAACGGGTTCCGGTGCTTTTCTGTGGATATGACCGCAACTGAAATATTTTTACAGTGAATATAAATATAGAAAAAATTAAAATAAAAAAAAGAATTGAATTTTCTTTTATGTCAGATTCTTACAAAAAATTGATAGCACTGCTCAAAGAAAAAAACTTACCTCCCTTTCCTTCTTTACTCCCAAGAGAATTACGTACTCACGACATAGACGTATTACTAAAAAAATCAATAATAAACTTATTAAACGAATTAGAAGATAACAAAGATTTGTCATTTCTTCTAACGGATTATATAAATGTTCCTTTAGAATGTAACTTAGAAGAGATAGAAGAAATTCTAAGAAAAGAGCCTTTATGTTCTTTTGAAGAGAAAGAAATAGAAAAAGAGAACAAGATAAATGAATTTGTGTCAGCTAACAATTTTACAAACAGAGCACCAAAAGAACAAAAAAAAGAAATCAAAGAAGAAGAGAATGAAATTGTTGACAACTATCTTTTAGAAAGAATCAAATCAGAAATTATTGACTCTAAACAGAATATCAAGTGGAGTGACGTTGTTGGATTGGAGTTGGTTAAAAAGAATATTAATGAGATTGTGCTTTGGCCTATGCAGAGACCTGATCTGTTTAAAGGGTTAAGAGGTCCTCCTAAAGGGCTACTTTTTTTTGGTCCGCCTGGTACTGGAAAGACTATGATAGGAAAATGTATTGCTAACGAAGTAAAAGCCACCTTTTTTTCTATTTCTTCCTCTTCGCTTACATCTAAATGGGTTGGCGAAGGAGAAAAGATGGTAAGAGCACTTTTCTTTTTAGCAAGAAAAATGCAACCAAGTGTCATTTTTGTAGATGAAATAGATTCGTTATTGTGCCAAAGACAAGAGAATGAAAACGAAGGAACAAGAAGAATCAAAACAGAATTTTTAGTTCAGTTTGATGGCATAGGTACAGATTCAGAAGATAAGATTCTTTTAATAGGAGCTACCAACAGACCACAAGAAATAGATGAGGCAGCCAGAAGAAGATTAGTAAAAAGGATTTATGTACCTTTACCAGAAAAAGAGGCTAGAATTTTAATGATAACCAATTTGTTAAAAGATTTAAAGAGTGACATTTGTGAGAAAGAATTAGATGTTATTGCTGAGAAAACAGAAGGATATTCTGGATCAGATATTTTTAATTTGTGTAGAGAAGCTTCTTTAGAACCGTTAAGAGAGATTAGTGATATTAGAAATGTTAGTCATGAAAATACCAGACCTGTCTCTCTAAATGATTTTCTTAAAGCCACTAAGCAAATTAGAAAGAGTGTTTCTCAGAATGATTTAGAAATTTATTTACGATGGAATGAGGTTTATGGATCAACCAATTGAATAAATCTGCTAAAAAATATAATTAAGCTTTTTTTTTAATATTTTTTTTTCTCTTTTAGTAAAAAAATATAAAACTTTGTGAAATATTTGATGTAAGTTTTTTATTCTTTGTGTATTTTTAGTTTGTTCACAAAGATAAATAATTATTAAAGACGAGAAGGTAAAA